ATGAGATAACATGAGAAATCAAATTTTAATTTACAGAAAAAAAACCTTTAGATAATGAAAAGCCTTCATCAACTCAAAAAGAAGGTGTTCCTATTGGTGTTGGTGCCACGTTGTCTGACAGAGGAAATCTTCAACTTGGTGAGTTCACAATAACTGACAGAAATCCTATTTTTTAGTAATTTTAATAATTTTACTGTAGGGTTGAGTGAGTGCATTGAGGCATTCTATTGTCTATCCTCAATTAACTTTTGATCTGGAAAGTCTATTGATACTTCAAAAGTAGGGGAGGGTACAGTCCGTAACTAAATGTCGACTTTTTTTCTGCTTTATAAAAGGAAATTATGAGAAATAACTAGCAAACATGATTATTTAGACCAGAAACAAATGATTGAAGTGATTTTTTGTCAATTTTTCAAAAATTTCAAAAATACCCTAAATCGTCACTTACGTAGTTTTCAAATCCGAGCTTTCATTTAATGCATGAGGCATTCTATAATAGAGACAAAGAAAGCTCCAAAACTCCATCTCTATGATCTAATTCGAGGTATCAGTGGCGATATTTTGATTTTAGTGGCCTATGGTAAAATGTTTAGTCAGAACAAGTCACAAACTTCAAAAATCGCTAAAATATTCCCCTTTTAATGAAATGTAAATTATTTTGCTTCCAAATATTCATTAATATCTATATTTTACAGAAATTAAATTGAATTGAGCATTATTTGCTGATTAGAAGCTCAAAACATACTTTTTTCAGACCACTAGAATAATGTCGAAAATAAGGGCTTGATCGACGGGAAAGCCGAAATGCCTCCTTCTCGCCAAAAATATTTAGCCAATCAAACTTAAACCCTTTTTTCTATTRTCAGGTCCACTCAACTTATAATCAGGCAGAGTTTGAGCGATTTTGATTTTTGACGTATTGCACTCGATAGACGATATTTACAGACGGCCTTTCTTAAACATCAATGACCAATCAAGTCTTATTTCTAACAGATAATCAAGCAAATGCAAATAAAACAAATAAATTAGGAGCAGTTGCTACCAACGAACTAAATAATACAGTCGGCAAAACAGAAGGTGGTCGCTCTGGGAGTTCTGAACAATTTGATATTGATGAGTGTGAGCCTTGTGCCTTGGGAAGTAAGTTATCGACTCAATTAAACAAAAAACAAATCAGGATATATATTAAATTAAGGGACGGTCCATTTAACTTTTGAGGGGGGGGGGGGGGGGGGGGGG